AGCCCGAGGCCAGCGCTTGCTGGGAGTGAGCTTCGGCCCCTGGTGCCTACGCCGCCTTCTCCTCCGGAGGAGCCTCGCCGCTCCGACCGGCACACGATCGCTCTCGTCACTCGGCCACCCGCGCCGCGGGTCTCTGCTAGCACTGCGCTGGCTCCAAGCCTGGGTAGGGCTCCGCAGGCCTTGCGTTTATACCAGATACATAAACTTCAGAAGATCTTAAGCCAGGGTGGTTTTCTCAGCTGTGCCAGAAGAGCCGTTTCCTTCCCTGCGGTGCCAATCTTCTTCTCTCCAAAAGGGCAAACACTGCCAAAAAAAAAAAAAAAAGGCAAAGGATTTCTTGGTGTCCAAAATGTTCATGTCCCAGGAAAGGGACAGCTAAAAGAAAAACAATTATCTATGCTTCAATGAAGATGAGGCTCAGCCCTTAGGAAAGAACTTTAAGGGTGGAGGACAGCCAGAAAAATCCGTTACTGTTGTCCTCAAGAGTAAGAGAATACAAGAGTGGGAATACAATGGAAGATTGCTGAGGAGGACTAAACATGTTCGAGTGACTTGCAGCTGGGGTGCCGGAAAACACATATCTAATACAATTGTTGCTTGGCTCTGCGCGCTTGATGGGTAGAATGTCTGTGTTTAGATAATGTAGGCCTGTGAGAAACTCAGGGGCACGCCACTGAACATCCTTGCGACTCCTGACCTGTGCTGGGAAAGATCAAAGCACGGTGGAAAAGTGTATCTGCAAAAATCCCTGATACATACAGGCAAAAGCAGCAAGTTTGAGATCTTTTCTTTCTTCGCCTCTTCCTGGCTAGCAAGGACCAAGATCCGTGGTACCTGCGTCCCTGCTTGCGTGCTTCTCGCTGGGTGTTGTTGCAGAGATCCCCTGAGGTCGCAGGGTAGCGAGAATAAATTTACTCTTTGCATTTCACCTGTGGTTTAGTGGTTGTTCCTGTATCCCGCCTGCGCCAGCTCACACAGTGAGTTGCAGTGAAAGAGGGGTGAGGAAGGACAAGCTACTAAAAGACTAGGAGATGCAGAGGTGAACTACCACTGTTTTATGAAGATGGAGAACAGGCTCTTGGGGAACAGGCTTGGAGGAAGCATGTTGCAGCCCCTGGTGAGGATATGAGATGCTGCCACATGACAGAGATGAGCCAAGGATGATTTTCCATGAAGTGAGAAGCTGGTGAGACTGTTTTACAAGTTCGTATGTTGTCAAAAAGTCACGCCAAAGCAGACAGACCTTTCTGGAAACATGAGTTGAGGCAGGTTCCAGTAAAATCTATGGTGTGAGGTGGGATGAGCAGTGGCTCTGATAAGCACAAGACAGCAAAGATTTCTCTCAATGCTGAAGGACAGCATTTCCAACAGCACCCTGCAGACCCTGGTAAAGCATCACTTCTTTTTCTTCAAGGTAGGCCATCAAAATCACCAAGCCTTCCTAAAAAACAGCAGAGTTATGGAAAGACCAAGCTGCAATGTGGGAAGACCAAGTCCAGGCCAGGTCTCGCCCTCTGTTCATCCTCTGCAGAGACCTCTCAAAGAGAGGACAGGTTACCTGATGCTTCCAAGTTTCACTGGAGATAGGAATTCCCCAAAAGACATGTAGCACAAGGCTTGGAAAATGGCTTAGTTGCCAACAGAATAATAGTCACATTACCTTAAGTAATAGAAATTCCTTCTTATCCATTACAATGGGCATCTCTAGAATGCACCTACCAGAGGTGACAAGGTACAACGCAGAAAGTCTGCTCCTAAAAGGGCAGAACACATAGAATGGGTAGGATGAAGAGGAACAGGGAGAAACGACCTATGAAACCCTCTAGAGCATTCCCAGGGGCATGGAGCAGCACTGCCAGGGACTACAGAGACAGATTGCCCATATGAAAAGCAGTCAATAGCAGTGACAGCTCACTCACAGCAGTGAGCTCCAGTTTCTCGTACCATGCATCCAAAATTCTTCATAAAGCATCATCCATCCATTTTAGCTCCACTGCCTTTCAGTGTTGTTAAACTTTCCTTTCTGTTTTAAAGAGAATAAGAAGGGATGTCCTTTCGTAAATTGCTTTTGTTTGTCCTGCTTCTCTGAAAAGTTTTCTTACGTTTTTGCTGAAACTTAAGCAATCCTGCTTCTTTGCTCTATGCATGGGAAATACTGTTCAGGCTCTGCCTGTCTGCATTTGCAGTAAAAGTGTTCAATACAGTTTTCCCTACAAAAAAATTCTTCTGTAAGCTTAATGCCATTACAGAAGTTGCACCGGGAAAAACACTGTCCATGCTTGGTTTTTAAAATTCCATTTTGATTATCTTAATTTCAAACCAGGTAAGATACTGGTGATTAAAATTATGCTTCCAATGAATTATACATTGATA